ATATATATATATATATATATATATATATATATATATATATATATATATATATATATATATATATATATATATATATATATATATATATATACATTTGACTAAGTTGCCAGCTTTATATGATGGATATCTCCTTGCCTTTCGAAAACTCATCAGTAGATACACCACGTGCTTCGCGTGTAATTGGCTTTAACTATGCCAATACTGAGTATGCATATACTAGTATGAGACTATATACGTTTATGCACGTGAGACTAGACGAATCAAGAAATGTACGCAAATTAATTCCTCCTGTTCTATTTCAGTTCACACGAAAACTTCAATGGTTAATTGTGCGTCCCACACGAACTCCAAAGCAAAGGTGAAATCGTAAAAATTTGAGTACAATTATTCAATTTAGGTGTGAATAAAGAGAAATTTGATTGTTCCAGAAATCAGAAGACCTTTATTCTTTAATACCATGCGTATTCACACAAATCTTCACATGCAGAAGTTGCGGAATTTTCAATTTAGTTCCAGGTTGCGAGCAGGCTACAGTTTAGTGGCCATTTGAAAATTCTCTACTTTTCTGATACACCCTGTATATTTCGGAACAGACAATAAGTTATAATCACCAAACCTTAATAGTTATTAAATATCTTTATGATCTTTACTTTGTAAGCTGTTCTTATTCCTCCAGCGACAAGTTCTACCAATGAAGTATGAATGAGTAATGCATGCATGCAGCCCGCTCGTTCAGCTTTAACACGTGATTTATGATGGTTATAGAGGAAGTCGTTTTCTATTTTCACACAGGGCCACAATGTAAACTACTGGGAAACCAGTCATTTGTGTTACCCAAATAAAGTGCGGTCTTAAAGTGTCTACTACACACGGTATAAGCAATTCTGATAAACTTCCTTGTTATCGGGTTCAGCCCAGGCATTCCCTGCTGTTTCTGTGAAACAGACGGAGATTTCAATCGTCTTTTGCCTAGTTTTGTTGTTCTGGCAGTATGACAGTTTAACTATAGTAGTATTGTATATCCTCTATTATTATAGGCTAGTGAAAGCAATAATGTAAACTACTGGGAAAGCAGCATAAAGTGCGGTCTTAAAGTGTCTACTATACGCACGTTACCCAAATAAAGTGCGGTCTTAAAGTGTCTACTACACACGCTATAAGCAATGTTGATAAACTTCCTTGTAATCATGCATAGGACTATATATCTGATTCCAGTCATTCGCTGCTGTTTCTGTGAAACATACGGAGATTTCAATCGTCTTTTGCCTAGTATGGGGGCCCCCTAGTATTGTTGTACTAGCAGTACTATATGTACATACGTACAGTTCTAGCGGTATTTATACTAGTTTACCTGGTAGCATTGAATGTATCCTCTATATACAGGGTGTATAAACTGAAAACTGAACTAAAGATTTGAAATTGCTCTCAATTTCGCAAAACAGCCATTAGTATCTAGTTTTTTATATATATAGTTTCTTTGGGTACTTATAATGTGGAATAATGAAAAAAATTCTCAAACTCAAATTTTGTAAACCAGGGGGGGGGTTCCAACAAACTAAATAATGTTTTTAATTAATGTACAAAATTTCAGACAATTAATTTTTTCCTAACAAAATCAGCCTTTCGCATGCTTAGGCCACATAAAAAAAATAGTTGGTTAGCGTCCTCGCCCGCCCACAAAAAAGGCCCCGCTCGCTCAGGATTTTTTAAATTTTTTTATTTTAAAAAAAACCAACTTTTATTGATCAACGGGCTCTGATATATGTAGTTTTCTGTTGACTGTAGTCAATTGTGTTAATAAATTGCGAAATTGCGTGCGAAAATAACGGTATGAATTATATTTTGAAATATATAAAAAAGAAAATCCAGTTTCGGACCTAAAACCAAGGCGTTAAAAATTAGTAAAAATTTAAAAAAAAGCGCCCGCCCGCTCACTTTTTGGCAAAAGCTAAGGACGCTAACCAACTACTTTTTTTTTATGTGGCCTTAATTAATGTCTTTACCTAGTTGCTGACATAAGCAAATTAGGCAAACGCGTTAATTAAGCATGCAAAAGGCTGATTTTTTAGGGAAAAAATGTTAGTTTGCGTGAATAGTTAGGGTTTAAGGCGGTTTTCCATTACTCGCACGAAGCTCCTCGCAGCTCGCTGCGAGTGCTTGCATCTAATTAAAATGAACTGTTTAGCATTGTGATTGGACGAAAGTGCTCATGCATCACTCCAGCAGCGAGCTGCGAGGGGCTTCGTGCGAGGACTGGAAATCTGCCTTTAAACTAAAGCAAATTGTCTGAAATTTTATACAGTAATTAACAATACTTAAATACGATTAACGCTTTTAAATTTCGTGCGCAAGCCATTTATAGTTTGTCGGAAAAAACACCCCCCCCCCCTGGTTTACAAAATTTGAGTTCGAGCTACAATTTTTTTTCATTATTCTACATTATAAGTACCCAAAGAAACTATATATATATCAAAAACTGGATACTAATAGCTGTTTTGCGAAATTGAGAGCAATTTCAAATCTGTTCAGTTTTTTTTTTATACACCCTGTATAGTGAAATCATTAATTAAATTAATGGTGTCGCAAAACTCACAATGTAAACTACTTGGAAACCAGTAATTTGTGTTACCCAAATAAAGTGTCTTAAAGTGTCTACTACATACGGTATAAGCAATGTTGGTAAACTTCCTTGCAATCATAGGACTATCATTCCAGTCATTCCCTGCTGTTTCTGTGAAACAGACAGATATTTCAATCGTCTTTTACGTAGCTAGTAGTATTGTTGTTCTAGCAGTATGTACTACATACAGTTCTAGCGGTATTTACTACAGTTTACCTGGTAGACTGGTAGTATTGAATGTATATATCCTCTATAGTTTCAAGCAATGTGTCACAGAGTAACACACAGGGCCAGAGTGTAAACTACTGGGAAACCTGGTCCAGTAATTTGTGTCTTAATTAAAGTGTCTATACTACTAGCACGGTGTAAGCAATGTTGATAAACTTCCTTGCAATCCGCATAGGATCATTCTAGTCATTCCCTGCAGTTTCTGTGAAACAGACGGATATTTCAATCGTCTTTTAGTACCTAGTATTGTTGTTCTCGTAGCAGTATGTACTACGTAGAATTATATATATATATATATATATATATATATATATATATATATATATATATATATATATATATATATATATATATATATATATATATATATATATATATATATATATATCCTGGAAAAAAATTCGCGCAGCCATTACGTCAGAGAAAAAAATCGTGCAAGCAAACAACAAAGTGCAAATAGTCTTGAAAAAAAATTCTTGCAGAGGTTAATTAAATGCATAAAAAAATCCTGCAGAGACACGATACTAAAAAAAAATCGTGCCTCAAAAATTTTATACCTCCCCTCCAGGGACTACAAACGGGATGTTAAACGGAAATTACGTCAAGCACAAAGATCGTATGTAGAGCAGGGAATAAAGAAGAACCCAAAGGACACAGGTAATACGTGGAATGTAATTCGAACATGTATTTCTAAGAAAACTACTGGAAAGAAGTCCTTCAGTAATGATGATAAATCTGTGGCAAATAACTTTAACGAGCTTTTTACAGCAGTCGGTTCAAACACTGTCATGAAAATTAAATCACTTGCTAAAGAAAATAATTACACTCCCTCCCAACTACCACTTGTCCCAACCAGTTATACCGAGTTGGATCAGTTTACCTTTGAACCTGTGGAATCTTCCTTAGTAGAATATATTGTGAAGTCAATTAATCCCAAATAACAAGGCACCAGGAATAGATAAAGTACTTATTCGCGTTAATATCAACGACTGTCTTCCCGTTATTGCACCATGGATTACCTCCATCATAAACAACTCGTTAGTTAACAACATTTTTCCAAGTGCTTGGAAAATTGCTGAAGTAATTCCCATTCTGAAAGGTGATCATGAGCAAGCCAATAGCAACAAACCAATTTCCCTCCTATAGACTACCCGTCCTTTCTAAGGTATACGAGAGAGTAACACTCAATCAACTAACCTCCAACCTAACCATCAATCGTCGCCTCTCTGTGCATCAGAGTGGCAACAAAATCTGGCACTCAACGGAAACCTCCCTCATCCATTCCACCGACTCCATTCTCAAAGTAATCGACCAGAAGAAAGTCACGGCAGTTGTTCTTTTGGACACTGATGAGTAAAGCTTTTGACAACATTAATCACAATATACTGTTACTCCTATTTCCCTTCACGTATGGAACATAACGATTGCAAAAGATATATAATATATTTTATTACTAACAAAATGTGAACTTTATAAACTCTCGTTTTACATGTGCTCGAAGCAACTGTTAATCTATATATTGTCCCGCGAGTGTCCCACGCGTGATTCTTGCGTAATCATACAACTAAGGGCAGGGGCCCTACACTTTCCCCCTGGAAAGAAATGTCAAACACGACATTGATTCAATGAATCATGAAATCTCCAACAATTACAAATCTTACAAACTTATCCAACACGAGATGCTGCAGTCATTTCGGGCAAGAGTCAGTTCGTTTCTTATTACTCGTTCCACTATCGTATGTTTTCAAAAACATCGTTTCAAATTTCAAAACTAACATGCACTTGAAGTTTCTTTCGAAGATCACGATCTTCAGTTCAATACAACGTTAACGTACTTATCTAATTAAAGAACATTGTTCCACAGTACGGACAATGAGGTCCGAGGTATGCGAAGGGATTATAAGGTAGGGGGGTTGGCTGCCACATATAAGGAATGGAATTCATTGGTGGGAAAGGCATCACTCCTGGTTGACTAGGCTCTACAAAACCGAAAATAGTGTTCATACTACCAGGGTATGGAATGCCTGTGACTGGGTTACCTGGTGTCCAATAATTTAGTCTTGGTGGTGGGTTTCTGTTTCTGCTAGGTCTGGTATTTTCCATAGGTGGTGGTGGAATAGACGCATTTTCCGTTGCTGGCGGTGGAATGGTTGGTTGTTGTTCATCAAGGGCCAATACATCTGGGTTCTCGACCGCTGGTAACTCTGAGTTGTCTATCTCATCATGTCCGTGGTCGCCGTCTTGAGCTGGTGTCACGGCATCGGTTACGTCCGCCCCACTCCTCTGATCATTCGCCAATGGTACAAATGTTAACCCATCTAATTCGTCTTCATCTGATTCCGGTTGACTAGTAGATCTTGTGCTGGGAGGACCTGTATTTTCTCTTTGACGACGAGGCGTTTTTTTGGTTCAACAGCTGTTCCACGGGAAGTGAACTACACGGTAACAGCATATTACGCTGAAGAGTTCTACTCGGGCCATCAGAACTTTCGGGTTTAATTGTATAGACTGGGCTATCTTCCCCTCTCCTAGTGACCACGACATGTATCTTGTCTTCCCAATGACTTCGCAGCTTGCAAGGTTTATCTCGTTTACTCAGATTTCGTACAAGAACTCTATCCCCCGGTCGTAACTCCGAACTACGGATGCGGCGGTCGTATAGCTTTTTCCCTTTCGCTCTACTTTGTGAACTCTTTTCGTTTGCAATCTTGTACGCTTCAGACATCGCTTCGCTCCAGTTGTTAACATACTCTCTATAATTCGGTGACTCAGTTGACTCGCTCTCCAGGTTTAGGATCATATCAATAGGTAGACGAGGATGTCTGCCAAATAAGAGATAAAATGGCGAGAATCCAGTTGACTCGTGACGCGTGCAATTATAGGCGTGAACCATTTTCTGGAGGTGGTCTTTCCAGTGTGATTTTTGCGTTTCCGGTAGGGTTCGCAGCATGGCAAGGAGGGTACGATTGAAACGTTCCACTTGGCCATTGCCTTGCGGATGATACGGGGTAGTCCTTGAATGTCGAATACCACACAGTTTTTCCAGTTGTTTGAAGAGGTGATTTTCAAATTCTCCTCCCTGATCGTGATGGAGTTTTTCTGGAAAACCGAAACGCAAAATAAAGTCATTATATAACTTTTCCGCCACTGTCTTAGCTGACTTATTTCGGGTTGCATAGGCTTGTGCGTAACGGGTAAAATGATCCATTATAACCAAGATATACTCGTAACCGCCACTACTTTTCTCGAGATGAACAAAGTCTAAAGACACCATCTGGAATGGAGCAGTTGTTGTAATGGACTGTAATGGTGCCCTAGTTTGGAAAGTAGGAACTTTTTGCTTCACACACCGACATTTATGTGAAATGTAAGATTCTACATCTCTCTGCATGTGCGGCCAATAGAACCGAGCACGGGCAAGTTCTAGCACCCTATCTGCTCCTAAGTGGCCCATTTTCTCGTGAAGTTCCTCGTACACCAACCAATGGAGCTTTTTAGGTAAAACTATTTGATTCTTCAAACCACTTTTTCTCCGAAGTAATCCATGTTTGTCCAATTCCAACTTGTTCCACTCGTGCA